ATATAAACAGAATAAAATATTGGAGAAATGGTTGAAAATTAGGCAGATCAAACCACCAGTTGCTACAGTCACAGTTGTCCCGTGATTTCTTCAATATTACAATATAATTATAAATTGCATATATTTGTAATATTTGTTTTTTCTGGTTCAAATTATTTTGCATAGTCGGATAACTTTGCAGTCAAACCTGTAGCAGAAAAAGGCCTTTCATGTTTAATTATTGCGTGCGGAGAGCTTTGAGACGTGCGCTCTCCGATCACAGCCGCAGATCATAGCCGCAGATCAAGGCTACCCACTGTCATACAGCCTTGATCTATGGCTGGGATCGGAGGGGCCCCCTGTCACAAAGCCCTCAACACCTTGATCTGCGGCTGTGATTGGAGAGCACACGCAGCTCTACATGCGCTCTCCGCACACAATAATCCCTCGGCCTTTCAGACGAGGTTTATTATAAAGTATTTACATTGACATGCAAATAAAATATTTGTTCAAAATAAAAATATATATATTATTTATAATCACCCTAAATAATATATTTAATATTAGTTTAAGGGTTTAAACCATAATTAAAATATTGTTATCACAGTGAAAAAAGTTTGACGTGAGATGTGTTACGCATAGATATATATATATATATATATATATATATATGTATATATGGATGTATATATGTATAAATATATATGAAAGTTTTGATGTTAAATATATAAATAAATGAAGTTGTGGCATGTATGCTTTTTTTTATTATTATTTGAAGAGATCCTAAATTTGCTGAAATTTTTTTTGTCGGGACTCCGGCCCTAGTTCTATGTGCGAACTTCAATAATATATCGTCATGTGTGCTACATCGTGGAAGTTTATTTGGGATTATTGAAGTAGAACCGCAAAAAATATTTCAGAGTTATTTCGGGGTTATTTAAGATAAATTTATATATTATGCTTCAATAATCCTGAATAACTCAGAAATAACCCAAAAATAACTTTCGTGATTCAACTTCAATAACCCAGAAATAACACCGCAGAGATTATTTCGAGTTTATTTCTAAATTGTTTCGGGTTTATTGAAGTAAAATATATGAGGTTCTCTTCAATAAACCCGAAATAACTAAAAAATAACATCTTTGGGTGTTATTTCATAGTTTTAGAAATAGAACCGCGAAGATTATTTCGGGGTTATTGCGGAGTCCGCGGTTCCACTTCAATACTTTTTAGGTGTGTCTGATATAGCACACATGACGGTATTTTACTGAGACTCTGCACGTAGAGCTACGTCGGGAGTCCGAATAAATTTTTTTTCTATATTTCAGACGTGCAAAAGTAGGATGCGACCGAAGAGTCCAGTCGCTTGGAAGTCAGAAAGGAATGCCTCACTTTTAATGAGATTGTTTGAACGTGCAAATCAAAATCGCATCTGCATTCAACAAACACAATTTTGAAAGTCAATAGAGAAGCGAAAACAAATATGACCTTAATTGCTACTTAAAAAAAAAATAAAAAACATGTATGTATTTATGATTACAACATCTTTCAAAAATTTATATTATTCATAATAATTCTATAATTATTCTCTTAGGTGCGAAACTAATATTATTTTATAAGTGCACAAAATCATTATATATATATATATATATATAATACCTGCAATTTATAATATAATATGTATAATTTATAAGAATATAAATGAAAATACTAAGGAACAAGCGACATACAAAATGAGCGACATACATATTAGGTGACAGAGTGGGGCAAAGTTCAAATAGAAAGATATATCCAATTTGCTTCCTTGACGTTAATGAGGCCTCTCAAAACTAATTAGACAATTCATATACACTCAGGTATTTCGTTTCTCAAAAATAGTGCAAAATGATTATAAAATTGATAAGAGAAAACTATTCAGAAGATTTATTATCTTATAAATTTTTCTTTACAATCCCCCCCCCCCCTTTTCTTGGAGTCTATTCTCACCCCTTCATTTTGTCACACAATAACCGAATGAGATCACACAATTATGCCTAAATCATAGATCATTGTGTTTTGAACAACGACCTTTGTCTCATAAATATAAGTTATAGATTGCTCGATACCAGGATGCGCAACACCAAGAATGATACATGTCATAAAGGTCTGACGGGAGGGACTAACCTTCAACTTTTTGTTGTTGTTTTTTCCTCTGCTGTCTTTGCTCTGGCGACTTCGTTGGCGCCTGAAGTCCTCCATTCACCTGGGGTCATCCCCCCTTCCATTACCCGGTTCACTGTCCTTTCCACGGTATATCGAGGCATCAATATCCGACTCCCTTCCAACACCTCTTGGACATCCTGCAGATCGGCCAGTAAGACCCTTGGCTTCCTACCTGCCACCTCCAATGGGCGAGTGACAATGTCCTAGTCGTTGGATGTAGAACCGACCAATAATTTTGTTACGCAATTCTTTAATCTTATTCTCAACGCTGAGCAATCAAACTTTTCGCCGAAGAGAAAACATGAAAAACCCTTTCTTATCGACCTTGAAGGAGAAGTAGTGACTGAATATGTCAATCAACTAAGTGATACTAAAACGATGACAAAACATAATGGAAGTCACGAAGACCGAGTTGGAGTTCAGAAGAACTTGGGCCAGAATGACCTAGTATTTAGTAAACATGCTCCTAAGTTTCGGTCATAGGGCAACCAGAGACCGTAATTAAACTAATCCTGGTAGAACACTAGATCAGGGCCCACATCGTCTGTCGAACGCCTTGCAAAGTACATCATGTGGAGGGTGATCTGGGCACCTGACACATAGCGCTTCTGGAGACTCTTTACGTCTCGGCCTATCAAAGAAGAGGCATCGATATCCCTCACGGCACCGAAGAGATTCAGAGAATACTTGAAGCCATCTCAGTCGAATGAAAATAACATAAGAAAATGAAGGAAAATGAATCATAAAACTCATATAAAAAGTACAAAAGTGGAATAGGGCGACCCCTAACCCTATTTATAAGGCGGGCATGCAAACCAAAGAGCCGCATAAAGATAAGTGTCGTGCCAATTGTCATTTCAAATTCCTTAAAAAATTATTTTATTAAGAATATCATCATTACAGGTTTCAAACAAAATGCTTATTAAATAGGTTCTCTAAGGTTATAGACAAGACATATCCCTTATCAAGCAACCTATGGAGAACCATCTCTCCATCAAGACTAATTTGCTCCATTTGGCTGGCCTCATTATGGAATCAACTCAAAACTACCAAACCACGAATGGATCCCATCTCAGCTTGGATGTCATTCAAGAAACTTAGCAGCAACGCGACCTCTCCTGCAAGCCTAATGATGATAACCGACTGTTGTTGAAAGCGAACTTCAGACGTTTGCAATGAGTCATCCATCCCAACACAGATGTCATCCCAAGACTTTCTATTTTTTGGTACAAAACCTCAACCATCTCCTACACCCTTCATGTCACTGACTCGGGAGGGAGTCTCTAGTACACAGACTGATCCTATTGAGAGCTTTCACTCATGTCAATCGAAGGAAGGGTAGGGTGGAGATGATTGCATCAAGAGACTAAGCGACAACAACAAAAACAAAATCGACCACATCTCTTGGCGGTCCACCGCCCTTGTCATCCTCTATCCCGACTGACACATTTTCATTTAAAAGGAATGTTAAGTTACCGTGCCAGCCAAAGTCAAAAGAAATTCCTTACATACCCATGAGCCTCTCAAGCTCCGCAAGCTCCGATCCGACCTGTCAGTGGATGAACTTTCTCTCTCGATATGGCACCTCCTCCCTTTCTCCCGGGGGCAACAATAAATAATCAACCATCACCTCTGTCCTTGAGCTACAACGATCATCAACAACCTTTTCATCGGACGAGGTAGGCAGGTCAGCCACAACCCTGACATTGCTAGGACCAAAACCCACAAGTCTACGAAGCCTCTTTGGTGACTAACTTTTGGGCCCCTCAGAAGAAGCAAACTGGTTGACTGACTTAAGATCTACAATCTCTCATCTTCTTTCTTTCCTGACCACCTTTTTCTTTTTTGGGGCAGATGTCGAAGTAGGTAGATACCCGGCAAGACTAGTAGGCTCGGGTTGACCATCTTCTTGGTTGTGTCACCTAACATAACGCCTACTCAGCAACCCAAGAAATATTGGCAAAAGATGAACAACCTAACTCCTGACCTTATTTATATGACACGGCGAGCACAAAAATAAAGAGAAAACTAATCGTTAAAATTTCTTAATTTTTGTGGCACGATTAAGAAAATAATTTCTCTGCCCTTATCACAACTGTCTCCACCAAAGACCAGGAAATTTCAGAGAACTAATATGTATACACTAGAACTATCGAAATAAATCTCAAAGAGAACAAACGACAAAAAATAAAAAACTTCCCCCAAGGGTAAACAACCAATTGTCAAGTCACCGTCATGCAAGTGAAGCCGCGTCTCTAAACCCGGGATATGTTATAGCTCTAGAGATGGTCCCTCGCTCGATAGCGATAAGATCCACCAAGGGCAAGACGTAACTCATCATAGCAGCAAGTGATATGACTTAAACCATGCTTAATTTCCTTTCTCATTTGTACATATTTTATGAATGAAATTGTACTTTAAAGAATGATATTTTTTATGTTTTCCTGCATGTACAACAGGTAATAGGACCGGAACGAAGTGGAGAAGAAACATAGCGAAGTGGATGTGAAAATGAGTTAGAAACAAGTTGGAGAACTGGCGGCTAGCCACCAGCCTTTGACCACCACACCTTCTCGCCATTCATGTGGTGCCTAGGCTCCAGAATCCAACCGATCAAGGTAAAGAGACTGGCGCCTAGGAGCCCGAACTCCTTGGAGCAGTTTTCTGTAGTTATTTCACATGTTCGAAGGAGTTGTTTCAACCCTAAATAAAATATAAAAAGTCACTGAGCCAATTTCGAGCCGCACTAAATTTATTCGAGCCGACATGAGACTGTAACAACCCTAAAAGTATGCAGTTCAAAAAAATCAATCTTGGATGCTCATCTCTAAATATGAATATTTCAAGTGAGTTGATTCTAATTATCCCGTATATAAACACCTTTATTTTCTTTCAGCTCTTTGGGATCGTGCTCGGCTCCGACAGCTTGCAATCTACTTCTCGTCTAGCTTCTCGAGAGAGGGAGAGATGCATCTAAGCGAGAACGAGGGGATTGAGGGGAATCGCTTTGTAGTAACAGGTGGCCTAGGGTTTGTGGGAGCGGCGCTGTGCCTCGAGCTAGTGAGGAGGGGGGCAGAGGAGGTGCGATCTTTCGATACTCGCTACAGCTCGCCCTGGTCCCTCGACCTTCAAAAGAATGGCGTCCGCTGCATTCGAGGTTAGAACCTAACTTGTGTTTTCTTTCGTTTTCAGGACTTGTTGTCGATTCAGATAAGTTGTCATGGAGAATCACTGCTTCGAACTTGATGATTTGTTGGATTTTTTGGGTTTCTCGTAATTAGGTTCGTATGGAGATTTTAGGAGTTTGTAGATACTTGAACTGTAATTTGGGCTGCATGGCAATGGATTTAAGCTGCATTTACGCAGGATTTAAGCAGAATCCCGCCAGATGGTCATTTTGCGCAAAATAAATCCCGCTATTCTGTAAGTCCGGATTCAGCTGATTTCAGCTGTAAATCTTGTAAATCCTAAATCCTACCAATCGTTGGATTTAACTTCGTGGAGCTTGGGATTTAGTTTCACGGGCTTACGATTGTCTCCACTGGCCATAACTGCTTCCCAGAATCCACGCTGAACTTGCCAAACAGTTCTATAGGATTTACAGGATTTAGTAAACCTGTTGCCACACAGATTTTCGGCTTTAACCCATTCAGGGTGATTTACTAAATCCTAGTACTCTTGTCAGACTGGGAGATTTTGTGGACTAGGCTGGATGAGATTATTCGATGGCGTTATAAAACCTCGACGCTGTTATTAGTTGATTTAACAGATACTGATATTGCTATTGATGCCTCATTGAGTCAAAGAAAGGATAGATACTGGTTTTGGAGATGATTATAAGAGCATATGCTGATGACCTGACCATGTGCTTAGCTTATTTTTTTAAACCCCTTTTTATAGTTTTAAGTAAAAAATCACCTCTATACAATTGACTGAAATTAAAAATACATGGCATTTTATATAAAGAAACTCACTGAAGCAGAGTGTTAAGTGGACAAATCTGACAGGTTGATTGTTGTCCAAGAATTGGATGGTTTTTGTTCAGTTCTAACTTCTAAGTTGAAGGCAAGTCCTATAGGACAAATTTATGGAATCTTCTAGTGTGATCTCTTAATTGACAGTCAAAGTCTTACACTCTATGAATGACTGAAATTAAAGATACAAGAAAGTTTATTTAGAACATTTTAGCGAAGTAGAGTGCGAAGCGGACTAATCTGGCAGGCTGATTGTTGTTCAAGGATTGGGCACTTCTTGTCAAGTTCCAGTTGATGGTTGGTTCTATGGGACAAATTTTCTTGATGAATTCTTCCAGCAAGATCCCCTTAATTGGCAGTCAAGTACTCTTGAATGAGGTGCCATTATATTCTAAGAATTTATTTAAGTGGAAAGATGACTTTGGTTTGTTGAACTCTAAATGTGAGTAGAGGCTTCTTGGCATGACTTGACGAGATTCAACTTTAGACAACTTATGGCTTTAGATGATTCAACCTTAGTTAGCAGTTTCGAGTTGGTTCAACATTTGTGATTTGTTGATCTCAATTTAGTCTTATATGAAAACTTGATTTTCGACCAGGATAAATATTGTTTACCTAAGACGATGTAGATCTATATCCTACTTATTTGATTTTGACACAACGAGAATGCTTATCACAAAAAGGGATGACTAATGCTGACAAACCATTTGTCCATGACTAGTGACGTGCTGTTTTTGCATTTCTTTTGAGAGAGCTGGCATGCTATTTACTAAGCTCAATTTTTTTATCCCCTATTTATAGTTTTAAGTCGAAGTTCAACAATGTATGAATGACTAAAATAAAAAAAAAATCAAGAAAGTTTATCGGAAACTATCCAGTGAAGTGGATTGTGAAGCGGACAAATCTTGTAGGTTGATTCTTGTTCGATAATTGACTGGTTTCGAAGTGGAAGGCTAGTTCTATTGGATGAATTTACTTGACACATACTTCTAGTTAGATCTTGCAGGCTTTGAAAGATCATGTTCCGACCTCCCTTAAAGATAAATGAGAGAATTTTATTGGGTTCTTAGTCAAATTTTCATAAGGTAGATTAGATTGCAGATAACACACTCTCAGATATTTTGCTCTCATTTTGCGAAGATTCTTAAGATATGGGGTTCGAGGTTTTTTTCATAAATTCAAGTATCTATTGTTAATTATCCCTCGTAATAACAAGAGAGCATTTTTTATTAAGATTAGCTATTAAGCATTGAATATCCAGCATAAAGTAGCAACAAAATTTTGTTTTAAAATTATAATATTTATCATTGTGTAGTCAAACTGAATAATGGGAGAAATGATGACGTATCCGATCAAAATCTCATAGTTGCATCATCTCGGGCTATTATAATTTTGTTTACTTAGTCAGAGAATATAATTGAGTCAACATGACCAAATGATTCTTTTAGCGGTCATTGATTGCATCGTTCAAGAGAATCTTATATATCTGGGGCGAATTCTTGTCTAAGGAGACAAATATAAGTCAACCTTAGCTAATAAAGAATTTTGTGCTCATCAAATCTACCATTATGATTTATAAATTAATGAGCAGAGAATCATTGAAGAACTACTGATTACATATGTGATTATAACTTAATGGTGACATATGCGGCCAGTCATCTGGTCAGAGGACTTTGGTGTAACTATGATTTTTGTTGGAATCATGGAGTCAAATAACATAGATCATTTTGAATGTGAATATAATGATAAACTCAATGTGATCTTTGTTTCTTGTGATTTTAGGTTAATCATAAATTTGTCACATGTAACTAAATGTTATGAAAAGTGAATAGAGTTTGCTTTAGGCCTTAGATGTGAATTTCAATGTTTGGTTTGTTTGTTTGAAAATCTTGATTTAAATTTAATTTATTGATTGATCTATTTGGTTGAGATTTTCAATCAACACAATCATCATTAGGGTTGGACTTTTGAAATATTTGCTATTGTACTTTATTTTAAAATTATCATTTTAATGTCACTAGAAATATTAGTCTTGTGAAATTCAAATCTTTTAGGGAGGAGGATCAAACTAATTAAGTGAGTCTTACAACCTTGTTCAGCAAAATAGATGACTGATTTAAGAACGAGTGTTACTTGATTTTTAAAATAAAGAGTTTATAATTTTAAAATAATTGTGTACTTTTTTAAAAAAGGTTTGCATGTTTCTTACAGCGAAAGCAATTTAACTGAGGATTTCATTTCAATTCGTGTTGCATTATGAAACTGTGTTTTTAAATATTTTGCACCATTGTCGAAACACTTGTCGGTCTTAAATTTCATATGTTTGACATATTAGAAAACTATGTATATATTTTAAATTGACTTGCATGACGTATGAGACATGATTTAGATTTTAAATTTACTTCAAGAAGCTCTTAGAAGACTTGAAATTTTTTGAATTTGACTTATTTGAGTAAACACCTGGATTCATGCACATTTTTATTTTGAATTTCAAAAGCCGCATCTTATGTTTGCTTATATGCCTGTAGTGGATTCAATAATGACATTAAAGGCCCAATATTTGATTTTTGTATTCAAAGTAATTTTAGACGAATTACTAAATCTTTTATCCAATTTTTTTTGTGTTCAACTTTGGTCATTATATTTTATTGAATATGAAATTTAATTTCAGATATTTATTTTACTATTTATATTTTTATTTATTTTATAACTTATTAATGTCTTAATAGTTTAAATATAAGTTCTTTGCAAGTCTCAAATTATTGAAAATTTTAGCAATTTCTCGGCGTTTCCCTTGCGTAGGGCATCACCAGTAGAACTGAATCTACCCTCCCATGTATAAGACGTGGATGGTTGGCATTGTGCACCACCATGTTTGTTGATATCTTTTAACCCATCTGCTTTTAAAATGTACGAAGGCCTTTAATGTATCTACATGGGTTAAATACCAACATGTATTTTTTTCGTCGAGATGGAGCAACCTGAACGAGTACTTAACAACTTTATTCGTTTAGTTGGAAAAACCTAAATCAATACTTAATATTTTCTGCATTGTAGGCATTGAAGACGAAGGTGAAATCTTCTAGATGTGTGAGAGAGAGGGTTAAAGGGAGAATAGTGAATGTAGTTGAGGGATAAGGTGACTAAGAGGAGTGGCGGCAGAGTTGTCTTTTGGTGGTTGAGGTTGAGGGGCTTAGTTTGCAGATTGTTTTGAGGGAGTTTGATAGTTTTATGCAGCAGCGTGGAGATTAGGGAGTATGGACTGCTCGTGGATAGTTGTTCTTGGAAAAAAATAGGGAAACAAATAGGGAAAAAGGCAAATAGGAAGAGAGGAAGATTGCAGGTTCTTCTGGAGTGATAGGAGGTAGGAAATTTGGCTTATAGGTCTTTTGAACAAATGTGGATGGAGTGGGATCGAGAGGGTTGGAGTGTATGGGTTGTTCAAACAAAGAGGACCAAGGATGTTGGTGCTTGGGACGAAAAGAAGAGAGGTTGCGGGTTTTGTATGTAGTGGGTTCACGAGATAGAGAGGAACCTTTGGAATTGTTGCCCGAGAGTGTGAGTTATGCAGGATTAAGTAGAGCGGGAGTAGGTATAGGGTCATTATGTGGGTATAGAGATGGGATTGGGTAAATTTTAATTTTAAATGAGTTTACTTTGATTTCAAAATGATTTTAATTTGATAATTGTAATAATCATATTAAATAATTATTAAATTTAGCATATTTTTTTACTTTGATTTAATCTAATTAATTAATAATAATATTTTTTTAATTATTTCCCATCACAAAATTCATCATTTGCATCTCATACTATTTGTCGATCTTTTGCATTTGAGTTGATTTCTCATTTCACATTCATACAAGAATGTGTATGATATGGTGCCCTTTTAGACATTTTCAATGTTTTGGATGCGCCAAAGCTATATTTTTATGAATGAAGGTTGTTTAATTGGTTTCGGCGATGATCAAAATAATTTAACCTTAATTTATATGTATCACAATTTTCGGCTGTCGAAGTATTTGCTTGATTAAATCAACAGAACAATAATAAAGGTCGACAAATCTCTTAATTGACGGTCAAATGGTCTTGATTGAGTAGTCAAAATCTTTTGGGAAGTTATTTGGGTGAACAAACAAGTTTGGTTTAATAAACTTTAGAGGTGAGTAGATTCTTCCTTCTGCGACTTGATGAGATGCAAATTTAGACGACTTATGACTTTGGGCGACTTTAACATTTTGCGAGTATTGAGTTTTTTTCAAAATTGGTGACTTTTTTATCTCATTTTGGTCTTATATGATGTGTTCGTTTAACATGATCAAGACAAATATGAGCATAGTTTTCATGTGCAAAAAAAATAAAAAAATAAAAATAAATATAAAAAGGAATGGTGAATGCTGCAAAGCATTAGGCTATGTTTGGTGATGAAACGTATGCTTGCATATTCGTCCATCGGTCACATCGGATATGTGATTATTGGAATAGTTGTTGAAGACTCAAATGATGGATGTGCAAGCATGATAACTTATATGTTGTTCTATATCTCCATGAATCTAGGAACTTTTGCTTGCATTGTATTTTTTGGTCTACGTACCGGAACTGATAACATTCGAGATTATGCAGGATTATACACGAAAGACCTTTTTTGGCTCCTTTTGCATTTCTTTTGAAGAAGAAGGCATGCCATGTTCTAAGCTTAATTTTCAAAGCTCAACACTATATGAATGATGGAATTTAAAGATTCAAGATGATTTTTCTGAAATAATTTAGTGAACTAGAGTGTGAAGCAGGAAATCTACTGATTGTTGTTCCAGAATCGGGCACTTTATGTTAAGTTCCAAGTTGAAGACTGGTTCTATTGGACAAATTTTCTCTACAAATTCTTCGGGTGAGATCCCTTAATTGATGGTCGAGTAATCTTGAACAAATAGCCAAGATTCTCTTGAAAGTTATTTAGGTGAAAGGACTCTTTTGGTCTATTGAATTCTGAAGGCGAGTAGTCTCTTTGAAGCCTGACTTGAAAAGATGCAACTTTAGGCGACTTAAGATTGGTGATTTGTCTATCTTAGTTCAGTCTTGTTTGGCGACTATGTTAATCTGTCTCAGATAAGTATGGGTGTACACCTAAGACAATGTAGATCAATACTTCACTGACACAATTTTTTGCACACAACAGTGCTTATCATAAAAAGGATGGTGAATGCTGACAAAGCATCAGGCTATGTTTGGTGATGTGCTGCCTCTGCAGTTCTTTTGAAAAAGTAGGTGTACCATTACTGGTATTCTATTCTAGACAGTACAACACAAATCCAAACCTTGTACTTGCAAGCCGCCTTCGCTTCATTAACACAAAGAATTCACTTTTGTAGTAGCTCGCTTTTTTATTTCTTTGTATCAAATTTATTTCATATTTTTAAAATCTAAACTACAACATAATATCAACAAATAAAGTTTCAAGTGTTTTGTGCGTGCCCAGGATGCAATACTTTTTTTATTTTCCAGGGTCTTCTCACTTTAAATGATGGAAACATAACTGAAATGAATGACTTCTTTATGTAATTGAAAGATTTTTTTGCGATGTCGTCCATAGGATGTTTGAACTTTTTTTGTCTGGTCAACCATTTAATGTTTGGAACATTTATGAAATGCTTAAAAGATAAAGGCTAAACTTTTAGAAAGCATCATGAAGCTGCATGCCATGGAAAACCACCACCATAACGGCTGTAATGATTTTGGCATTAAAAATTAATGTAGGTCTTGACCATTTATATTACACTTTTATTTTCTCCTTCTTTGCACTATAACAAGGCTGCGAGCTTCAGGAAATAGTTAGGTACTTTAACAAGGAGCAATGACATCTTGATTTCATCTTTCTGAATGTCTCAGGCGATGTATCTCAGAGAATGAACCTGAAGGAAGCTCTTAAGGGAGCAAATTGTGTTTTCCACCTTGCCTCGTATGGTATGTCAGGTAAGGAGATGCTTCAGGCAAGTCGAATTGATGAAGTCAACATAAATGGAACTTGCAATGTATTGGATGTGTGCCACGAAGTTGGGATCAAGAGGCTTGTCTATGTGAGTACATACAATGTAGTTTTTGGAGGAAAGGAGATCGTTAACGGCAATGAGTCACTGCCCTACTATTCTATTGATGACCATGTTGATCCATATGGGCGTAGCAAGTCTATTGCAGAACAACTGGTCTTGAAGAGTAATGGCCGTCCATCCAAGTTAGTTTGTTCACTAGTTCTCTTTTTACTGCTCTCTCAGGAGATTTCTTTAACTGCTGGTTTGGAGAGTAAGGCTTTGTTAGGTTGAGCTTTCCTTTTTACAAAACTTTGTTCAAAAGTAGTTTTTTGAAAAGTTGTGTTTTAAAGTTATTTGAAAATAGCTGTAAGTCTGAAAGGAAAACAGAGGTTTCTCAAAAGTGTTTCGATAATAGTGTGGCAGCCAAACAAAATTACTGTTAGACTATCATTAATTAACCCTGTAATTGTACCCTTCCTATAACAACGTCATGATCATATGATATCAAATGCAACAAAGTTTATGAAAGCTTAGTACAGAGTCTTGTAGAATTGCAGTTATGAGTCACACATCATCGTTGACTCTCCCTGGGGACTTGATGTGTGAGACGAGGCTATAGCTAAAGGAGTGAACATGCACCTGTGTAATGAGAACAATCCTGCTTTACTGCATGTGGAGGAGTCTCACACTCTGGGCCTGAGGGATCTTAGGTAGTGCTGGATGAGAAGGATGGCTCGCCATCTTCATGTCAGTCTGCTAGTTGTTACTACTATCTGTATGCGTATTGCTTGAAATTCCCTTTCGCCACCCTAGCTACATTAGCTTGAGGAGATCTAAAACATTGTGGTCAGTGGATCTTCTTGGAGCGCATGAAGTAGCTTCCTAGTATTGGGCCATCTTTGGTCAGTTCCTCACTAAAAGAGCTTTGCCAATGTTGAAGATCCTCCCGAAGTTAATACGGGAGATAATATAGACTTAACGGCCTTTCTTATTTTGAAAATAGTGAACCTGATAACATTTGTAATTTAAGTAGTTGTTCTTATGAACCAGTTCATCTTTGTAAGGTTGCTCTCAAAAGCAATACTCACATTTATGCATTGTCTAACAAGCTGCATGCGCATCATTTTGGGCGTGTGATCAATAGTCTTTTCTCCATGTTTGACGAGCATTCATCAACGTTCTTAATTGTTTATGAAGATTGTTGTTTTATTTATAGGAAAAGGAGCGGTATTCGTCTTTATACTTGTGCAATCCGTCCTGCTGCTATCTATGGACCTGGAGAAGAGAGGCACTTTCCAAGGATACTCTTCCTCGCACAGATGGGCCTTGCATTTTTTAAAGTTGGAGATTCAAGTGTGAAGACAGATTGGGTTTATGTGGACAACCTTGTATTAGCCCTTATATTGGCAAGCATGGGTCTTCTGGATGACATTCCGGGCAGGAAGGGACATCCCATTGCTGCTGGACAAGCATATTTCATATCTGATGGTACTGCTTTATCTTTAGGAGAAGTAAATATTTTCCTAGTTTGAAAAAACAAAAACATTTTAAACTTCATAATAGAGAATGATTTAATTGTTAATTTTAGGAGACTGTTTGAAGGTCCATTATATTAATGAATATGGAATTGTTGTAGTTCTCCTATTGATTTCGCTATTTAGGACACGTAGATAAGTTTTGTACACCTTATATTGAAATTAAATCTTTCATTGTCAAGATAATATGAGAAGGGAAAGTCATCAATGTTTTTTTTATTATTATTATAAGCTTTGAATACTACGAGAGTGCCATTACTGTTACTGTGATGAAATTGGATATTTTGTTTCATATGATAATAATTTTGAGTACTATAGTATTGTTATTTTTTATGACCTTATATTATCATTTTGTTATTGCATGTTGTTTTGTAATATAGAATAACTATTTCAAACTAATGTTGTTTTATTTGACCATAGTAGAATAAATGGTCATTGTCCCTTTTACCCAGCTCTTTTTCATTTGCTTTAAAAAAATCATAAAATTTCACATGCTGATGTTGAATTCATAACTCATTGGATGAACCCTCTCCAATGACAACCGATGAACAGTGGTTTTTTTTTTCCTTTCTTTCTTGAGACCCTTAGCTTAGCACATAGTATTGTGATCCAAAGGCATGTGTAATTTGGAATAACTTGCCACTAAAAAAAGAGTAATGTAAATACAACAAGCCTTGTGCTACAATTAGCTTGATTCATCTGCTGCCATTTGGATGGAATACACTTTTTTATTTCTTTGTTAAACTTTAGGCATTCACAATTCTAAAACCTTTTCATATATTATAAATGACACTAACATACTCTTATAACAAAACTTTTTTGGGGAGTTACCACCATGGAAACAACTGAAGATTTTTTTATGTGATTTTGTTAACATGTCTTTATGTTTTTAAAATACTTTCATAACAAAAGATGAATTTCCTTCTTGTTAACCAGGCTTGTGATTGAGATTGATATTCTGATCGTCATTGCTGTGACATAGCAAGTAATAGCTGAGTTTTGATGTATTCCCACTTTAAATAAATTATGCTATTCGAAGCGCATATCTTGGCTTCATCATGCGGTGCACTATAAAATTTTCAAGCAGGATTGATGAATTAGTCTGAGCGTTTTTACTGGTTCAAGGAGTATTTTGACACCACTCTGCTTCTCTTTAGATCAATGTTGTTTGATAAATTTTAGCACTTAAAAGTGTTATGAATTACTCTTTATTTCTTTACAAAATTTGTAGATCAAAGGATTAGGAAGTGTGTTTTACTTGCATAATTAAGGTGCTTCTTGGTTTTTCTATTTTAGCACATGATTTGGAAGTTTGAGCCTATCAATGGCTTTTAGGAACTGCCCTTAACATGTGCCTTGCTACTTGATTTTTAAGTACTTTGGTATCTATTTGGGTGCACATCGGCAAATATAAAGGTTTATAGTAGTTATCCTATCAGTTTTCATTTTTAATTATTAGCATATTTTTTGTTATTATACCGATTACCGAGTCGCTGATTTCAACTGAAATTTGTTCTATTAAACTTTCTTCTTTGATCATTCCAACATAATTTGGTAAACTTGGCATTTTGAACTCTGTCATTTGTGGAACAACTTATTTCATTCTAATGGCTTGTTATTTTCAGGATCACCTGTAAACACTTTCAATTCCATCATCAACCCCGTGTTTAAAAGGCTGGACTATGATGTACCAAAAATTACTATTAGCGTTAAGCACGCACTTCTAATGTCACGAATATGCTGGTTCATATGCATGTTTCTTTACCCTTGGCTCAATCGTCCATGGGTTCCTGGGCCTCTTATTCTTCCCGCTGAAGTTTACAAGGTTTGTTACATAAATCTATTATTGTGCATGATTTTCCATCGAGAATGGACTTAGTGATTCACATAAAAAATAATTGATTGTATTGTCTAAATCATGTAATTTTGAGCGCATGCATTCTATTTAATTAGTTTCTTTGTAAAGCGTAAGGAAGTTTTGCATTAAGTATTATGAACAGTAGCGTGACTCCAATTTTCCTATGTTTTAAAAACCTGAGGACATTTTTCACTCATATAGCTGCAGATTGTGAAGTGCATCTTTGCTGCTTTGGTGGCTTCAAAGATGACCAAACGAGCAAGGTTTGAATTTTAAATGTCTTAGAAAATTTTGCACTTTCCATACATGAATCTATGGATCATGGATAGAGCAAATAATTCTTCTTTACAACCATGAGAAATATGTAGAATATGTATATCTCAATTTTTTCGCAGATCATGTGGGTTGTGTCACTATGACCGATGTAAATTAGTTTCTAATATTAATTTAGATGACTGGTTTAATATTAGAAGCTACATACTTTGATGGGCATTATATGAATGAATGCTTATAAATTTTATAAAATGATAGTTATTTGAGGTGGTTATGATGGACATACAGAATAGGATAATGAGAGAACTCATAATGATTATGAAATAGGAGATAGAATGCAGTGAGAGAACCGATCCTTCATTTCACAACAACTAATTTTACAATAAAGAACACATTTTAAGAAATGAAAATCGTACTTGATTGCTTATAAAAGTAGAGTTATCAAATTATAAAAAAATATCTATTTGAAAGAAAAATCTTCTTGCAAAGATTGTTAAGTTAGAAGCTTGATCACACAATACGCGGTAGCGGTCATGTATATATATAATAAGAGTAAAGAAAATAATCAAAATAAATTATGACCCTAGGATAGTAAATGCTGATATGCATATGATTGTGGACCAAATGGGCCCACCCATGGTTTAGGAAACTGTGGCTCTGTTGCTACATTTGAGGGAGGAAACTATTCTCTCTAAGTTATCCATTATTGTGCTTTTAGTTCTTTTATTTTTATCATGATGATTTGAATTTCCATCCAATTGTATGAGAATTAGTTTGAGCTATATATATATATATATATTATAAACGCCCAAGGGCTAATTTTATTAAAATTGAAAAGATACATAGATGTTATATGAGAAGACCTAAAAAAAGGTGTCCTACCCATACGATACATTAGACACTAGTATCCTAAAAGGATGAAATATAGATAAAATACAAAAAAACAAAACTTGCAGGAAATAAGTTGCTAGGCACGAGCCAGCTTGGTCTTGCCTCTGCCTCTGGTTCTGGGAGCGGAGACAGCTAAAGAATTGCTGAGTGTCGTTCCATTACCCGAAGTTACTAGAGTATCATCCATTAAGTTCCCAAGCTGGGGTGTGCCTCAATTATTCTTTTTCTTTCTAGATGTGTATACCTGTCATTCCTCATCCGAGGACTGACTCATCTGATCGGTGTTGTCAATAGATTGTTGTGCATGTAGGAGAGAATGAGCCCTCATCTTCTGACTGGCAGTAACAACATTCTGCTTCTGAAGAGATGGTAAGCACGTCTCTTCAACACCTACCCTCATCTCCTGACTGGCAGTAACAACATTCTGCTTTTGAAGAGATGGTAAGCACGTCTCTTCAACACCTGATGCATACTGGGGATGTGGAGCTGCAATACTATCCTGATTATTGGACCCAAGTAAGCCATCTGCCAATATATTAGTTGGAAGGACAGAGATAGTATTGTCTCTGGTAGTGGGAGGGGGAGGTCGCATCGTTTCAACCGGTGTTTCAATAGTTTGTGGAATGCACTTAGGAGCGGATGAGAGACATGTATGAGGTGGGGTAGATCTAGAAACGTTTTTACTTGAAGGTTTTAAATTCAGATGAAACTGATAACATTGAGAAGGAGAATGTCCAAACATACGGCAGTGAGTACAAAGTACAAGCAGTGAGTACAATAAAGTGGTATCTGTTCAAGTTCTGCTTGCTGTCAAAATCCATGATGTTGTGTACCAATTCATATTTCTCCCGAAAAAGATAAAGTAATATCCTTTCTATCAAAATTCTGGCTTTTGAAGGCCGAGTCAGATTCACTGTAGGCGTGTCAGCTTTGAGGGGTTGTCGTATACCATCGCTAAAGCGAAGAGAAGCTCTTGATCAAAAAGGTGGATCTTCAAACCTGGGAAGTGCACCCAAACATGAATGGTATGAGGTTCAGTACAGGAGTCAAAATTCACCATTCATTTTAAAACTTTCATCATCTGGTTTTCTATTCGAAGAAAGTCTTCTCGCAAGCAAATGGGTGTAGTCTTCGTCATTTGATAATTGAATAAGAATGTGGCAACCATCCAATTTACCGATCTTCCAACTATACCTATATATATATATATATTGTGTGAGTGTATGTGTGTCATTTGCTTGTATTAGCTTAATGAGAAGTTAAAAAGTTTTTCCTCTAAGAAAGTTCCTCCTAAATTCCTCACGGGATCAGAGTTAGGAGCAAACCTTAGATCTCCCTTTGGCTTCCAAAAAACTCATTGCAGTTGCCAGCCAGCTAGCCACCCCCCCTCTTCGGCTTCGGCTCTGGATCTGCTTTTTGTCGGATATGTCATGGCTCAACCCAGGCTTGGAATTAACCAAGACGAGAATAAATGGTCGGGCGATCAGACGATCAAAATTAAATTTTCTATATTCATCTACAATTTAACAGATGAAATAACTATTAATTAAATTAAATTAAAATAATATATTTATGTCTACCTCTACTGGTTTTCTGTGCCTTCTAGAAACGTTTTTCTTCCATTCTTCATCTTTTAATCAATTAAATTAACCTAAAAAGGTAGATTAACAATAATGGTGAGCTAAACAAGCCAATGAATAGTCATATTTCTAAACTACAACAATATGCGGAAAAAGAAAGCAAAATGCATGTCAGTTAAATTTTTAATAAATCAATATAAACATTTGCGATGTATCAATGAATGTTACTATATCTATAACACACTAATATTATTTAATATATGTACAAACGTCACAGTAACATCCTCTCAAAGGTTTATCATTTAAGGTACTTAAATATCAATATTTTTTTCATATACGTGCACGAGTATCTTAGTGTACTCTCACTATTGTCATAAATGGGCGACTCCATCATAGTCAAGCATGCACATACAAGCATAGTATAAAAATATTGTTTTTATAATAATAAATATTTCATTCTCATTTTCTTAACATTCAATATTCTCGTACAAAATTCAATGATAAATTGAATAAAACTGAACACACAAGTCTTTCTTTCAATACGAAAAAAATTCATTAGAACCATAAATCATGGATATGCAGTCTTATAACAGTAGCAGTAAATGCATTTGGTCGAGAAGAAATAAAATATTATTATAATAAGCAAATATTAATACTCATCTTGATGATAGACAATTTACTTGTTTTTAACTTATATCACTCTTGTCCAATATCACTTATAAAATATAAAATATAAAATTATTACTTAATTGTGTTTTAGTTTAATTATGAATTGTTGTATCACACTAATTTAATTATCATTTCACTACTTTAAACTTTAAGTTTAATTATTGTAATCGAAATCTATATTAAATATTATTAATTATATAGAAATACAATTATAATTAAGGTCCTAACATTTCTTTAATACTTGAATCAAATGCACTTAAGTTTAATGTTTAAATAATAAACTTATATAATATATATATATAATATATATAATATATAATATATATATATATATATATATATACATATATAATACATATACTTATTTTCCTTATTAATAAACTTTTTTTTATCCTCTGTTCCCGCATGCAAGCTCTTCGGTGCGTCTTCTTTCACAAAGCATCGAACTCCTCCCCTCTTCTTTCATGTCAGCTCAGTCTTCTTCCTTCGCACGAGTCGCTCGCTGTCCTTTTTGTCTTTGCACGACATAGGAACTCTAGCTTTGGCTCCCTCCCAGTTGATGTTCGGGGCTCGACGCATCAATGTTGCGATCTTCTTCCCTCGAGCACAGTGCACGAGGCGCTATATCGCCGCTTCAAGTAAGAAAACATGCAACCTTTTTCTTTTTCCTTTTTCTGCTCTCTGATCGCATGCACGAGAGCTCCCGCCTCATGCATCAATTTATAGGGCGAACTCGTTTGTTGGTTTCTTATCCCCTCATTTTCTCTCCCTCTTTATTTGGTTTGTCTCCTCTACAACTGTCTGACTCATCGCTTTTTCTCCATTCGACACTTTCGATTTCTGTCCTAGGTAATAAAACATGACGTACAATATTCTACACTTATAAAAATTTCATCATCGAAATTTATAAACATACATAGTCATTTGTTATTAAGCAAATTATCATTAGTTATCCATGAAATTAGAAGTCATTTATTAAGATGAAAAAATATCATTATAAAGGTAAAAATTCAATACAAAATGACTCAACTATACTCATATAAAATACTGAAGCAAGTATGCTATAAAAATACCTTTTATATATATATATATATATATACAGTTCAGACCTCATCACCATTCGCAATAGTAGGTTCTTCAGACCCACTATGAGTAAGGGAATATACTCCGGGTCTTACAGGTTGCCTAGGTTGATCTCGGGTTGGAGCTGACGCTATAGAATCTATATTTTTCTGCTTACCTGCTTCTTTTGTGAAGGAGCTCCACTTGATTTTTTATTTTTAGTGCTCTTCTAGCCAAGTGATGGACAATATCTTGCTAGATGACCTTATTAATGACATCAATAGCAAATGTTAGAGCCCACCAAGTGTTCTCTTTTATGCCGTCTTCCGCATTTAGCACAAGTGATTACAATATCCTGAGTCATACATAATTCCACCCGAATTGTTCTTAGACTTTTTCCCATTAGATCTTTATGGTTGATCCACATGTTCTTTCTCTTTAGCACACTTCTTGTGCATTTCCTTATGTTTTCAGGTAAGCTGATAATTAATC